CACGGACAGGGCTGGGGTGGGGGCGCATCCCCCTGGGGGTGGGGGACTCCTGCTAACCTGCTTCTCCTCTGTCCACAGTCCTCATCATGGGGGGCATCGTGGCCACTGCCGGCCAGTTCACCAAGTGGTACTTTGGCGTGTACTCCATGTATCCTGCCAGGGTAGACCCTGGGGCGGGGGGTAGTGCTGCTCGGCTCGGGGTGGGGACGCGGCTGCCCCTGGGGGCACATCAGTTTCCCTGGGCCCGTTAGACGCCCCGCAGCTGTGGGGAAGGCAGGATAGGGCTCAGTCGCAGTTCGGGAAGCCAAGGCTGGGAGCAGGGGAGTGACTGGCGTTGAGGCCTCGGGAATTCTGGGGGTGCCCTCTGGCCCCCCTTCTATCAGCTGTCCCCCTGGGCAGCCTTGGGATCTGTCCGGGACTGGGCTGAACCCCTGTGGCCCGGCTGTGACAGGCCAGCAGGCAGGAGAGTGGCCAGACCTGTCGGAACCTGTTTCCCAGCTGTCTGACCTCCAGGACGCAGCTGCACCCCTGTTTTCTCATCAGCAAAGGGGGCTCACCCTGGCCTCCAGGCTGAGCCCAGCTGTTCCTTAACGGCACGTTCAGCGGCGCAGGTGTGTTCGTCTGCCTGCTGGAGTACCCCCGGGGGAAGAGAAGAAAGGGATCCACCATGGAGAGATGGTGAGTCCCCCACCTCTGCCTGGGGGCCGAGGACACTCCTTCTGACGCTGCAGACGCCCTCCTGGGCAAACAGGCCAGAGCCCACCTAGCCGCCGTGGCCCCTCGGTCTCTGGGAGGGAAGAAGCCGGGGTGCTCTGGGGGGGATGGGGGCGCTGCTGAGTAGGATACAGTCTGTCTGCTCTCTCCCTCTGCCTAGTGGACAGAAGTATATGACCAAAGTGCTGAAGGTGTTCGGGCCTCTCACCAGGAACTACTACATCCGGGCCTTCCTGCACCTTGGGTGAGCCCCCCTGCCCCCCACAGCCCCCTGAGGACCAGGACAGCCCTGGCATAAACCCTCCCCACCGCCTGCACCAAGTCAGCCCCATCCCCGCCCAGATACGCTTCCAGACCTGCTCGGTCCCCTCGTGCTGCGTAATAGCTCACGGCAACGCTAGAACTTAATAAGGAGTAGTTGGGGGCTGACGAGGCTCACCTGGGCGGCCCTGCTCCCTGCCTTGTGCACGCACCTGCTGGTTCCTGCCAGGGAGGCCGCAACGCCCATGGGCCTCGGCGGACGTGTGAGGTTCCTCCTGGCGTGGTGGGTGGGGGCCAAGCGCCAGCACCCCAAGAGTTGTTAAAGTTTAAATAAAAGCAAAGAGGACAGTTCCAAGGGCCCAAGCGTGGAAGCCCAACCTTTTGCAGGACTGGGCATGTCCTCCAGCCGGGGTCCTGGGGGCCACACACTATGAACGGTCTGTCTGGTCCTGGGGGTCCCGGGGCCGCAGACCCCTCCTGACCGCCCTGCCCCCCTCCCCAGGCTGTCAGTACCTGCTGGCTTCCTGCTTGCCACCATCCTGGGGACAGCCTGCCTGGCCATCGCGAGCAGCATCTATCTGCTGGTGAGTGGTACCCTCTGTGGCTAGCCCCGAGGGACCCTGCCACCTCCGTCCCCAAAGCCAGCTCCGCAGCCTGTGTCCTTGCTCGTGCCGTGACGGAGTCGGTGACTCCGTGGCCACCGTTCGCTGCATGTGTAAAGTGTGCTAACCCCTTTATCTGCGCCTCGGCCCCGCTTTGCAGACCAAGAAGTGGAAAGTCAGAGAGGTGACGTGGCTGGCCCAGGGTCACACGGCCAGCCAAGGCCCAACCCGATTGGGATCCGTTTGGCATACTTTTCTTATCTAACCCATCCTTGCTAACTTGGGGTGCCGTTGGGAGCACTTCCTGGGGAGCACGTTAACAGTACAGATGCGACGTGAATGTTTTCCAAAGCTGCCCCATTGGGCCTGCCCGGAGCTGGGACACATGCAAAGGCCCTGCGGTAAGGATGCACGTCACCCGGTCTTCACAGAAAGGCCGGCGGACTTGGGGAAGGATGGCATGGGCGGAAGTCTCGGGCACAGGTTTTGGGCCAGATGCTCATGCTTCTCTTGCGCTGCATGTTCATCCTTCCATTTGTGCATGTTCTTAAAGGGGCGGCATGTTGTCTGTGCTCTGAATGCCCACGGGCCCAGCCGTTTCACTCCTTGGTGACCCGCCTGCCGGTCCCCCAGTGGGAGCCCTTCCTGTCTGTTCGCTCTGCGGCTTCCTGCATGTGGTCGCGCGGTGCCGGGGGGCGGGGGGCGTCACCTGCATCCAGCCCCTGCACCCTCCGACCATCCACCCCCCACCTAAGGCTGGCTGGGCTGCTGGGTCCTACTTGCTTCCCTCCGCTGCGTGTCTGAGCTTTCTCTTAGAACTGCCCATCTTTCGAGGGGGCTTTTGTCTTTTCCTTATTAACTTGCAGGAATCTCGTGAATGTTCTGTGAGTGAATTTCAGACCCTGAATAGTTTCTCCGCCTCAGTGAGGGGTCTGTCACCTTTGTGTGTGAAATCCTTCCCTGGGCGGAACAGAAGTTTGTCTGTTTGCCCTCTGGTTTGTGCCTTTTACAGATGCCCTTTTCTGCCCGTAAGCCGTGTCTTTCTGCACTCTCTCGGATCCACTGTATAGTTTTCCTCTTCAGGGTAGATATACTACTATTTAAGTTAGGAGGTGGAACCACGGATGTTCATTTTATTCTTCTGCTTCATAAGTGACATGTCACACTTTTTTATCAAGGATTGTGGGGTACAGATGGAAAGAACACGTTCCCAAGCCCTCCCAGCCCACCGAGGGCTCTGCGTCCAGCGAGACCCCATTCTCTTCCCCAGCCTGCTGTGGCTGGTGCCCCCACGGAGGCCCCCTGCCCTCCCTGGCTGCCCCCGTGGGCCACTCCCACCCTGTGGTCTCATGTCCTGTCCCGGCCTTAGTCCCTGCGGGGTTGGGGGGTGGGGGGAGGCCTGGTCTTGGAGCATGCACCTGAAGGGCCTCCAGGTTGCCCTCCCCCCACTGTGGGGTCCTGCCTGGAGAGTGAAGCAGCTGGGTCTGGGGTCCTGGCTGTCACTCCGGAATTAGTGGCTTCAGACGTGGGTCCTGCCCGGTTCCCAGGGGCTGGGGGGAGAGGGTGTGGGGGTGGAGTTGGCCTCTGGGAGGCCCTATCCATCCAGCCCCTCCATATCCTGCAGGCGGCTGTCCGCGGAGAGCAGTGGATCCCCATCGAGCCCAAGCCCAAGGAGCGGCCGCAGGTGGGAGGCACCATCAAGCAGCCTCCCAGCAACCCCCCGCCCCGGCCCCCAGCCGAGGCCCGAAAGAAGCCCAGCGAGGAGGAGGCAGCAGGTGCAGCGGGCATTTCTGGTGGCCCCCAGGAAAACCCGGTCCCAGTGATCGACGAGGTCGTGTGACCCACGTCTCCAGCTGTCCGCCATGTAGCCCCCAAAATAAACCAAAGAGAGCAGGCTCCTGACTCTCCGCGTGCACCCCACTCCCAATCCGGGTCCTCCTTCAGCATAAATCCTGGATGGGCCACTTCTCACCCTGTCTGCCTCCCCACCTGCCCATCCCGAAGGGCCACTGCCAAACCGCCAGGCTCCCACAGCCCAGGATGGACGCCACCCACACCACGCCAGTCAGTGCCGCCACAGGGATGGCCTCTGGCCCGTGGCTGCGGGGCCTCCTGGACCCTCGGTTTGGAAGTGCAGCCCCTCCCCCTCCCTGTCCCCGGTGGTGTCCGTGGCCCGTGGGGCTCTGCCCTCAGAGCCAGCCACATGGTGGAAACTCGGTCACGGGCTGACGAAAGTGTCCTTCAGACCCCAGACAAAGGTCACTCCTCCTCCCTTCCCAGGCGCTTGTTTGCACACAGTAGGCCTTCATCAGGAGTGGAAATGGCTGGTCAGGCAGGGAGGTGCTGAAAACTGTCCTTAGATGGGCCGGGGAAACTGAGTCTCCAAAGGGGGGTCGTTGCCTCGCTGGAACTGCATGGGCTCTGATCCCGGGCGTTCTGCAGGCGGGGTCCAGAGGCTGGGGCGCCAGGCGGCCAGGTCAGTGCTGGGGGCAGAAGCCCCCGGGGCATCCAGGCAGCGAGACCGGCCTTCGGATCGGCCTGGGTGTCTGGTGGGGCTGGAGGGGACACTCAGACACTTGGAGGGGGACGGTGGCTGCACAGGCATGTCCCCCCGAGGTGACACCGCCAGCCGTGGGGAAGCGGGGTAGGTCCCCTTGGTGGAGGAGGGCCTGCCCGCATCCTGGCCAGACCGGGAGCCCCGCCCTTCCGCGGTGCCACGGCCAGAGGTGTAGGCAGGTGAAACCCGCCAGGGCACGAGGGCACACACGTCTCGCACACTGGCTGCCCTCGGGGTTCATGCACAGACATTTCTGGAAGGACGCAGAATCTAGGGCCAGCGGCCAGCCCTGCAGGACCAGCTGGGTGTCAGGGCCAGGCAGGGGTGAGGGCAAGGAGGGTGCCTTCAGCCACTGCCCTCTGCCGGCCGACGCTGTGCTCTGGGGGCATTTGTCAATTAAACAACACATTTTACACTTAAATAGGTGTTTTAGAAATACAGGGGTCCTTGTTCCTGAGGGGCTGCTGGGAAGAGGAAGCTTGAGGGCCGGGACCAGCCTGAGGCCCGTGAGCGTGGGAGGGCAGCCCGGGGAACCACAGACACGGAGGGGACGTCAGAACACCTTTTGTTTAAGAAGTTCTAGATGAATAAAACGATCCCTTCTATCCCAACTGTCTGTGCACAAAGGGTAAACCGAGTCTCGAGATGGGCGTGACCCACACAGTGCCCCCACAGGCCCAGGACACCGCTCTTCCATCGCTTGGTTTCCACCATCATTCCTCAGCCCCGAGGCCTGGAGCCTCGGTACCTGCCCGGGGACCCCAGGGGGCAAATAAATAACCAATAAATACGCATAAATAGGAGGGGCCCTCTTCGTAGACACCCCGACGTCCGGTGTGGCCGGCGACGACAGCCGAGGCCGCTGGTCACTGGGCCGACCTGGGCAGGACGCAGGTGCAGCCGACGGGCACGCGGATGAACTCGGCGTGGAAGGAGAAGGCCCCGGGCGTGGGCACCCGCGAGGCGTCCCGCGAGCAGGGCCGGCGGCGGAACACCAGCAGACTCTGCAGCAGGGGCACGGAGTTGAGCGCGGCCGTCTCCCGGCCCGTCTTGGTGCTGATGCAGCCCCTGCACAGGCACTGGGCGAAGGCCAGCTTCTGTGGGTAGCGGCTCTCGTCGGTGTCCACGCTGCGGGGACAGGCGGCGTGAGGCCCCTGCCCGCAGCCCCCCGCCGCCGCTCGTGCTCAGGGCGCTCCTGGCCCACGTGAGCCGAGGCTGCGGGGCGGGTGGCACGGGGCCCCCACTCGTGAGGCTCATTGTGCCCCCACTGCCCCCCAGAGAGGCCCCCCCACCCCCGGCCCCGGGCCCAGCCACCCCTGCAGGGGCTCAAGTGTGGACCTCAGAATCGTCCCGGGAACCCTGGGGATGGAGCCGCGCTGCAGTCTTGCAGACTGGGGCCCGCCCTCCCCGCCTGGGGGTGATGGCCCATCTAGCGGGGGGGGGGGGGGGGGGGGGCGGGGGAACGACACTGAGGCCCAGAGAGGGGAGGCGATGGCCCCACCCCACAGAGCAGGGACCCCTGTCCCCGGGGAGTCCCGCAGCCCTCACCGGTATCTCCAGGGCGAGATGGAGCGCTGGTGGATGTCGGCTTCCAATACCTCCTCAGGCCGCAGCACTGGGCACTGGGTCCCAGCGGGGGGCTCGTCCTGCCGCCTTCTGCGGCCCCCCGCCTCCAGGCTGGCCACCAGGGCTACGGGCAGAGCCTGCTCCCACTTGGCAGCTCGAGCCAGCAGGTGGGGCGGGGCCTGGCCCAGGGGCAGCTCCTCAGCCGAGTAGCAGCGTGGGGTCCCGTGGGGGTGGGCCCCCGCCCAGAGCTGGGGGCCATGGTGGGCCAGGCTGGCAGGCAGCCAGAGCAGAAGCAAGAGGCCAGGTAGGAGCTGGTGGAAGGGCATTGGGTGGTCAGGCCAGGGGGTGCCCAGGGAAGGGGGCACCTCCCTGCCCTCCCACCTTGCCCTATTTCCCGTGGAACGATGGAGTGCGGCCCTCCCTCTACAGTTGGAGAAACTGAGGCCCAGAGGGAAACTTGACCCTCAGCCCAAGCTCCCCAGAGCACCAGAGCTCCTGGGCCCTGGCTCTCTCCTGTCCCCAGATTTGGGGGGCTTCCTGAACCCTGTGCCAACCTCCTCTGCTTGGGAGCCGGCGGCACGGGGCAGGCGGGGGCGTGGGGAGAGGCGGCGGCTCACGAGGCTCACCATCGCAGCAGGGGCGCTGGGTTCGGAGAGGCAGGTGCACGTGGCTGCGGGCCTGGAGGCTGTGGACCTAGAGGCTGCCGGGCTCCAGGTGCCCTTTATACCTCCAGTCACACCTGGGGAAAATCCGGGGCAGCTTCCTCCTGGGGAAGTGCCCGGCCGCGCGGCTTCCTCCTCCCCTCCCGGTGGGTCCCCGGCCCCTCCTCCTGCCCCGGGGCGGGCCATGCCCACCCCCACTCCTCCGTTCCCCACCCCCCACACACCCAGAGGGACCCTGCCCCAGGCTGCCGCCTTGCCAACGGAGCCACGGAGCCCACGGCTTCTTAGGACGGGGAAGTTCCCGCTGCTTGGCGTGAGTGGGGCGCTGGGGCCGCTCGCTCGTCCACAGGGCTGCCTGGAACTCCTCCGGGGCTGGTTCCCCAGCTTGTGGACATGCGCTTGGTCCCGTTTTTCTATCTGAGATGGTCCAGGAGGGGCCCCGTGTCTGCCTGCCACTGCGCAGGTGGGAGAGAGTCCGGAAGAGGCTCCGGGGGCCGGCCAGTGTCTTCGGCTTCTGGGTTGGGTTTCTGCGGATTCACTCAACAAAACCTTGCTCTAGAAGCCAGAGATGCGGGTGAGGATGCCTTGGAAACTTTAAAGTGCCTGCACCCCGAGAAGCTGTATTTGAGGAGGCCCCTCTCGGGGCTGCAGGGGGCTGTGGGGCGACGGTCCAGGCACTTTGGTTGTCCCGAAAGGGACAGTTGGAGGCCATCTGGCGGAGCTCTGGACGCCGCTCCCTGGGTCCCCTGGCCACCCCTGAGACGCAGGGCCCTGTGTGTCCCGGTCTCTCCTATCAGAGGCTGAAGCATCTCCCAGCTGACCAGGGTCTGAGGGCAGGGGAGTGGCCAGATACGCACCCTTCCCTAAGTCTCCAGGGACACGAAGACCCCCTGGGGGAGCAGGGCTCTCCCAGGTGTGGCTCTGGGCAGGGGTCCTTGCAGGTGTCTGTACGGGCAAGTGGGCTGCCCTGCGCCCCTCTCCCAGGGAGCAGGACAGGGTTAGGGGAGACCCTGCCCTCGCTGGCCTGGAGGAAATGCTCCTTCCCAACAGATGGATGGATAGATGCGTTGAGTCCTCAGGGCTGCTCCTGCCTACAACGCCCCGGTCCCTGGTCGTCAGCCCTCTGCTTGCATACCTCCTGCAATGGGGAGATCACCACCCCCTGCGTTAGTTTGCTAGCGCTGCTGTCACTAAGGGCTACACACTGAGGATGCCATAGTCCTGCAGGCCAGAGTCTGAAATCAAATTGTGGGCAGGGTCCATTCCCTCTGGGGTCTCCGAGGGAGGACCCTTCCCACCTCTTGCTGCTGCTGGGGGCTGCTGGTGATTCTGAGTCCCCTGGCTTGTGGCCACGCCGCTGCGACCCCTGCCTGTCTTCACGGGGCCTCTCCCCCGTGTCTGTGTCCCCTGCTCTGTGTCTCCTAAGGACACTCACCTCATTCAGAACGATCTCAAGATCTTTACCTTAATTGTATCTGCCAAGACCCTTCATCTCTTCACAGGGACTGGGGCCAGACCTTTGACGTATTTTGGGGGATACACAGTTGGGCCCAGGACCCCCTCTACAGGGCGGATGTTGGAGGACCAGGAAGCCCCTCCCAAGGCCGGCTGACCGCCGCCTCCCTGTCTCCGGAGGGTGAGTTCCAGTCTCTCCTGTGTCCCCCCAGGAGGCAGCGTGAGCCCCTTGAGGGCAGGGGCGGCGGTGTGGTGGCCCCGAGCTGGTCCACAAATACGCTGGAACGAGGGCAAGAGGGACGAGCTTGGCTCCCCAGGGAGTAAAACGGGGAGACAGAGCCCCAGTTGCGGGGTGCTGGCAGGTGAACCCCAGCCTGGAGGCCGAGGGAGCGAGATGCCCGCCGCGCAGTGGTCTCGCCTTCTTTTTTGGGGGGGTCTGACCGCACACATACATGGGTGTTATTTATGAAATGAAACGGCTATAAATGGTCACTTCGGCCGCGGCTGCCCGGCAGCTCCCCTCCCGCAGGGGCACAGCTGGATGCACTGGGCAAGCACGGCGGCGCCCTGACCAGCCAGCCCCCCATGGGGGGGGTATTTCTGCATTTTCCGTGCCTTTCCAGAACAGCCCAGGGGTGGGCACCGCGCTCGGCAGAGGATCCCTGGGACCAGGCTGCGCGCCAATTCCGCTTCCCGGCACCTCCGCCCCTCGCGGCTCCGCAGCGGTCCCCAGGGGGGCTGGGGTGGGGGCAGAGCTGGCTGAGCGGACCAGGGGCAGGGCCCAGGGCTCGGGGGTCGCGGCGGGCGGTGCCAAAGGCCGGAAGGATGCAGGGCGGGGGCCCAGGCGGCACCTCATTCCTGCGGGCGGCTGAGGCAAGCACAGAAGTCCCGGGTTGGGCAAGACTGGAAAGGCGCCACCAGAGGAAGGCTGGAGGGAGTCCCGGAGGCGGTGTCCCGGAAGGCCCCGCCCTCAAACCATGCCCCTTGGACCATGTGCTTCTGTCAGTGTCCTGCTGAGTGAGGCGGCCTGCAGCCCTGGGGGCGGGGGGTGACAACTGTCCCTGGGGGGAGCCGGGCAGCTGGCGCGTGGGGGAGGGGCGGGGGAGGCCCAGGAGCCCTGCCGGGTGCTGTGAGTGACCGAAGAGAAACCCAGAGAAACTTCACTTTTACCAAACGAGCTGCCGCATTAGCCTGACATGTTCACTCATGACGTTGGAGATTGAATCTCCCATCTGAGTGACAAGAATTACAAAATAAAAAACCCTTGTTTTGTTTCTTTTTATCCACTCAAGAGAGAGAGAGGCCGCGGTGGGGGCTGGGGGGCGTCAGCAGGAGCCAGGTGGTTGGGCAAGGAGTATGGGAAGGCCTGAAGGGATGGGGCGGGCTGGCCTGAGCTGCCAGAGTTAGTGTGCGTAGTTGTCGGGTCAGAGTTCCAGGAACAGGAAACAGCATGTGCAAAGGCCCTGGGGTGGGAGAATGGCAAGCAGGTGGGGATGGGGTGGCTCAGCATGTGTCACGTGGCAGGGCTGCTCAAGCTGTGAAGACTGGACCTGGACATGGGGGGCAGTCTAGTGGACAGACGTGGAACTGGAGGGACGGCCCTTAATTTTCCCCACTATTTGCATGTTGACTACAGCCAGGATCTCAGCCATCATGTTCCCTGGAGTGCCAACATGCCTGAGGATCCATTACATAATAGAGGGCTTCCTTTTTCCAGAAGTATGGCACGGAATGTTCTTTCCACGAATGTTCTTTCCACCAGACTGGGCAGGGGGAGAGTTGGCTCAGGCTGTGGCCCTTACCCCTCCCTGGACAGGTACTACTGAGTCTGGCCCAGAGCAACCATGAGCCCAGAAGGCTCATGCTCGTTTAAACTGGGCTGGGGTTGAGGGGACCCAGGGCCGTGGTTCCAGCCTCGGTGTCAGAGGCCCGGGCCAGGTCAGTGGGGCAAGGAGAGCTACGTGCAGGCAGGGACATGTGGTGGGCTCACCTGCGGGCTCCCAGCTGGCTTGTGGGGTGCAGTGGCCCCGGGGGTACAGAGCACATGGGGTCAGGCTGGCCCCCAACCTGCCCTGGGGTCTGGCTCTGTGTCCTCGAAGGCCACCCACTCAGAGAAGGGGAGTTCCCTCTGTACCCGGCTTGACGGCAGATCAGCTAAGCCTTGAAAACATGCTGAGACACAGGGTCGAGGCCGCCGTGGCTCAGGAGGACTCACACATCCTGCAGGACGTGGAGGCAACACGGAACACCATCCACGGAACGCTGACCGGGCTCACCCCCAGGCCCCCAAGCTCTAAGGGCCACCCCGGCTCGGGGCGGAGCCTGAGCGCAGCTCAGCGGGTCCCACCGGCAGGGGAGAGGCCCCGGGGCTGCCGCAGCCCTCCCCAGACCCGGGGAAAGCAGCACGCGCCCCAGGGGGTGTCTGGTTTCAAGGCAACCTGAGTGCGGAGGGCGCGGACCCCACCCACCCCAGACTGTGCGGGGGCGCTCCGAGGCCTCGGTGCTCCTCAGCGAGCTCACCCCCCCGAGAAGGGCCGCGGCCAGCACCAGGGTTCTCCCTCGGCGGTGGTCTTGGTGGTGATGGGGCTCCGCGGCGGGGAGCGGGGGCTGCGGCGGGCAGCAGGGCCGCAGGGCGGTCCTGGGCCTGCCTGCACGCACACGGGGGAGGCTGCGTCCACACCAGCTTTGGGGCTGGGGGCCGGCCGAGCCCGACGACCGTGCGCCGGCCTCTCCGCTCGGGCACCCATTTCGGGGAAAGCAGGTCCCCGGCGCGAGCGGGAGGTGCTCCGGTGTTCAGGAGGCCCCGCCAGGCCCAGGCCCACCACGAGGACACAAGGCGCCCCGCCCAGGGGGCTGGGGGGCACAGCCCCTGCGTCGGCAGCACCAAGAGCATCTCTGATCAGGGCCTCCGTCAGCCGGGGCCGCCGGCACACCAGGCCCACGGAATCACCACCACCAGGGCAAGACGGCTGCTTATCAAAATACTTTATTTTAGGAGACCCCTCAAAAAAAGACCCTCCACATTACACAGACGCCCAACAACACCCTCAGCCTTTTTTTTTGGTCTTTTCTGTATTTTTTTTTTTCCTTTTTAAATCAACTAAAACAATCTGATGCTTAAAATAAAAGACAGGAAATATTTCCCAATCGGACTTCAGTCAAGAATATAGATCTATTTTTTGACCCTGGGGCCAGGCGGGGACGGGGAGCAGGCTGCTCAGGAGCACGGGGCGCCCCCGGGCCGGGAAGGAGCGCGTGCGGAGGACAGGACGCAGGGCAGGCTGGCTGGCAGCGGGCAGGGCAGGCGGGCAGGCGGAGCTGGGCGCCGGGACTGATCATTTACATAAAACCGGTGCTGCGTCCTCGCTCCTGCCGCCTGCCGCCGGCCCGCCGGCCCGCCTGGCGGGACTTCTGCTCTGGGATGGGGCTGGTTCAGTCTGGTCTGGGAGGGAGAAGACTGGGATTCAGCGTCATCTTCACCGTGTGTGGCTTCTTTTCCAGCTGAGAAACTTTGCTTTCTTTTTTAATTTTTAAAAAGATGCACAGCCAAAATGAGACGTTAACTTCAAAATCCAAGACGGCTGTGCTCACACTAGTTATAAAAACACGAGAGTCTCTCACTGCGGCGGGGGCCGGGCCCGCGGGGCCCCTACACCTTCCCGGGGATCTTGGCCCGCTTGCGCGCGATGGCGTCCTCCACGGCCTTGAGCTGCTTCAGGAGCTCCTCGCGCCGCGACAGCGTGCTGGCCTTCCCGGATTTGGTGCTGCCGGACACAGCGCTGGCGGGGCTGGCGTCCGAGGCTTTGCCGGGCACACTGGTGATCTTACTGGAGCTCTTGGACTGGGGGGACAACTGGCGCTTCCTGCGGGGGGAGGGGGCCATCAGAGGGTCTGCCAAGAGCCTCCCGCTGGGCAAGGACGCGCGGGGCGCCGGGCAAGGACACGGGGCCCTGGCGGCCACGGACACAGGGCTGCCTCCCGGCGGCAGCGGGCCAGGCTGCGGTGGGCAGTGCCCCTCCCGCCCTCGGTGGTGCAGCGTCAAGGGGGCACAGCGTCCAGGGCTCGGCTGGTGCCCTGCTGACCTGTCCCTCCTGCTTCTGGTGCTTCTCTGCGGCCGCCCCCTGTGGTGGGGAGAAACCCCATGGTGCTGACCCAGGAGCAGCCCTGAGGGCCGGGGCGGGGGGCGGCTACACGGATGGCCGAGTCCCGAACCCGTCTGGACCACGACCCTGAGCGGTGGGCTGGCAGGGCAGGGCCTCCCAGCCGGCCTCCTGCGCGAAGGCAATCTCTGCCCTGCTTCCGGGGCCGACGGGGAAGGCAGAAGCTGGGAGCACCAGGCAGCCTCGTGCCTCAGGGCCCTTGTCCTAGGACCTGCTGCGGGGCAGGAACGCTCCGGCTAGCCCGCCCGGAGGCCTCGGCGCCCATGTGGCATACCCAGGGCACGGGTGGGCGCTCACCTGTCCGGCGGGGCCACGGGCACCTTGGAATTCTGGCCTCTCTGCCGCTCTGGCTTCGGGGAGCCGAGTCTCCCGCCGGACTTCCGGTCCCGAGAACCTGGATGACACGGGACGAGGTTAAGAGCCCGGTCCGGCCCAGCGTGGGCTGGTGAGCATGGACAGGCGTGGGGCGGCCTTGCCGGACGCCGGCGACCCCGTGCCAGAGACGTGGCAGCTCCGTACTACCTGCATGTTCTCACAGGAAGAGGCACAGGGCAGAGCGGGTCGAAGGAGGGCACAGGGCAGTGCCGGTCCTGTCACAAAGTGAAGCCCCGAAGCCCACGGAGGCCAAGGTCAGGACAGGCCAGCGAGCTCCCATTTATCCAACACAAAGACCCTCATCGCTCACACCTCTGGACTGGGAACGAACAGGCAGGGAAGCGTCGCAAAGAGAAGGCAAGGCAAGAGGCCGGGGTGCTCGCCGGCCGCCGTCCAGGGAGCGCGGGGGCGTGTGAGGGCGGCGGGCGGCGGGCGGGGGCGGTCAGCGCCCGGGGAGCACACGGGCTCTGGCGCCGGCCGGTTCTCGGCCCAGGTGGGCGTGCCGCGGCCCCGGGCTCAGCAGCCCGGCGAGGGGCGCCCCGCTGCCCCTGCTTAGGGAGGAAGGATGGCTGCGCACCGGCCACCGGAGCCGGCCGGCAGACGGCCCGCGGACAGCCGGGGCTGGACTGCTTGCGCGGCAACGCCGAGCCCCCCGCCTGCGCACCCTGTGCCGTCACGGAGGACCGAGCCGCCGTCTGTCAGCCAGACACCGGAGACGTTTTCAAAGAACAATGACACTCCCGGTTTTTGTTCACGGAAATGTGGTTACTTTTCGTAAGAAATGTTATTTGTGTTAAAATATAATACTTGGTCACTGTTATTTTAACATTAGCAAACACTGACGTTTTTCCCCGAGTTTTAACTTCTAAAACCTTAACATCGATGGCTGGAACCACCCCAGTGCTGGCTCCGTGGGGCCCAAAATGAAGCACACACGGGGTCCCGGCCCCTCTGCCCTGCTGGGCTCTGCGGGGGTGAGAAGCTCACCTCGGTCCGGGGATAAGTTAGCCCGCTTGGCCGGAGGAGGACTTTGCCTGTCTTTGTCCGAGGGTTCATAGCGCTTCCGGCTTCCTTTATCGGCCGCCTGGCACAACGGAGGGGGCACAGTGAGGACGGCTGGCCACCAGCACCCCGCGGGAAGCAGGGGCACAGCGGTGGTAGGCTCACTGCCACACCCGCCCCCACGGGCCCCTCCTGTGGCTGCCCACGGGGCCCCGAGGGAGGCAGGGCCCAGGGTTTCGGGCCTTCATTCTCGGCAGCGAAGGTGCCCGCAGAGACACTGTTCCCTGGGGGCCACCAGCCCCGGAGAGGACCCCAAGGGACCCCACATCTCACCCTCCCAGTCCCAGGGAGCCTCGGGGACGTCAGCTCACACAGGGCCAGTTACACGGAGAAGGGCCGGGGAGAGCACCCACCACCCCCAGGACGCTCTCATCTCCCAGGACATGCTACTGGGCTTCGCCACCCGACACCCACGCCTCCCCCGTCACCCACGCCTCTCCCCAACAGGGCAGCAGGACAAGCGGGCTGATGTCCAGCCACTGTTCACTGGCCCCAGGAACCAGGATGCCTCCCGGGGAGCTGGGCTCCTGGAACTGCCACCGGGAGTGCCCACGGCCTCACCTTGTTCAAGAGCGTCAGCTTGATCTCCTTATGGGCGACAAACGTGCCCTGCTGGGGCTGCCCGGGGGGCCCCTGCTGGGGGGCCATGGGCTGCTGGGGTTTACTGCCGGCAGAAGGCTTGGAGGACTTGGGCAGCTGTGCGGACGAGTCCCTTTTCCGCTTGTCTTCTTTAACCCCATCTTCTTTTTTAGACTTTCCTGCCAACAACAAACGCTAAGTCACAGTCACCATCCCGGCACGGCGGTCTCCTGGGGGCCGCCTGGAGGGGGGACGTGCTAGCAGCCGGGCCACGTGTCCGTGGGACGGAGCTGGGAGGTTCCTGCGCTTTCCTGTGTAACCGTGAAGCAGCGCACACACCCTCTTTCCACGAGGGGCCTGCCCACCTCTGCAGCCACAACGCCCAGGACACGAGGAGCCCCCTGTACCTTTCTCCTTCTTGGTCTGGGCTGGGGTGGGGGACCGCGAACTTGCTGAGGACACGGGGCTGGCCAGGTCTGCGTACATGTCGTCCGAGTCCACGCTGTGCACCGAGCTACTACTCGACGTGGCGCTGGACACCGAGGAGACGCTGCTCACGCTCAGGGACCTGGACACACACAAGCACGTCTGCACCCACGTGGCCCCGGCGGCGAGAGGCCACGGGGGGCCAGCCGTGGGTGTCCACGCGCACCTTCCCCAGCCTCCAGTTTCGAGGAACGTGTACTACCTAACTGGAAACTTCAGGGGGGAAGGTGGGCGGTTCAAAGGGGCCCCACGGTGAAGGGACACCCCAGTCACGGGGTCGAGGGCCCTCGCACGAATGAGCAGCCAGCCTGTGTGCTGGGCAGGGACATACGACGAGTGACTAGCTGTGAGCAAGGCTGGTGATGACAGAGCTGAGGGCCCAGGCTGTGAGGCCCGAGAAAGGGCAGGGCTCTGCCCCGCGGCCACGCCAGAGCCCAGAGCAGAGGCGCCCCGGCCCCGCACGCGGCTCTGGGAAGCACGGGGACGGCGGCCGGCTCGCGGGGGCTGCTCCCACAGCCCGCGCCGTGAGGACGACGTGCCACCGAGTCCGAGTCCGGTCACTCTCCGAGAACTCCGCAAGGACCCGGGCAGAAAGGAAGGGCCTGGCTCTGTTTAAAGGCTGGGTCTTTAAACCTCTTTGAGGAGGACCTGGGCTGCCTAGAAACGAACGAGGACCTAAGGACTGATCCGACAGCGTGTCCTCTTCCAGCAGCTTGACGGCGGCACTCGTCCCTACCGGACCGGCCGCCACTGGGCGCCTCGAGCACGGCGGGCGGGGGGCGGGGGGCCGGGGGGGCGCCGACAATGACCTGGATCTGGAGCTGGAGCCGCTGTAGCTGCTGCCGCTGCCGCTGCCGCTGATGGTCCGCCTGCAACACAGACAAGGCCCGTCTCGCCGGGCGGCCCGCGGGGCCCACGGTCTCCCCTCGGAGCGGGAGCCGCGTTCTCGGCGTCCTGCGGCAGCACCGCCTCCTTCTAGGGGAGACCTCGGTGTCGACGGGCGCCTGCCGCCCGCACAACCACACCTTCTGTCCTCAGGTGCTCGCGCCTCCCATCGTGGTCGGGGGAAACCGAGGCTCGAGGACGTGATGTGACAGGACAGGGACCGAACAGGCCCCCAGCCTCAGCTGCTTCCCCCAGAAGCCCCCCCCAGCTCGAAGCCCGTTCGCTCACCTCCTGGGGGGGGTCCTAGCTTGCCGCTCCCTCCTCCGGGCTTCCCGAGGGTCTCCTGGCTTGGCGGGCTCGGGGGCTGGAGCAGTGGTTTTGGGGGCCTGTGGTGGGGCTGGAGGTGGGACTGGCTTCTTCACGGACTTCTCTCTGTGACAGGAGACGGGGGGAGGGTCACACCGGCCGCACAGGCGGAGGACGGGTCCATCTGAAGAGCCTCCAAGAACCACAGAGCTGGCGCTGTGCTTCCTCAGGAACGTGCCCCCCCCACCCCCCCGCTCACAGGCCAACCTCCGAGGGCACCAGTGCCGCTCACATGTGGGACCCACGCTGCAGCAGAGAATGGCCCCAAATTTTCTGTGCTGTCAGTGTGGGGAGAATACCCTGCCGAACATTCTGGTAGCACCGAACACTCACGGTTCAGGTGGAATCAGCAGGAAACAAAGTCTTGGGCAAAAGCAAGCTGCTCAGCAGAGCATCAGGGGCGAGTTAAGATCCGTGCAGACCAAAACGCCCGCACGACCTGCCTGCCATGCGGCTGGGGTGTCTGGATTGGGGTGGCCTCACATGTTCGCTAAGCCCGTCACACAACTTAGATGGCTGGGGTGCCAGGCATAAAGTACGCCTCCACACTGCTCACTTTCTAGGAGGGGGCGACTCCGGGTGCCTGCAAACTCCCGAGGGCTGCTGGAAGGCTTGGATCAGGATGCAAATGTGCAGCATGGAGCGTTTCAGCGCCGGCCACCCGGCGAATGCCAGGCTATCGGCCGCTGAGTGAGCCACACGCGTGAGGACAAGTGACAAAGGAGGGTGGCGCTGGCGTCACACGGGCATGCAGGCCCGTCCGCTCACACGTGCCCCGGCCTCGCCCTGCAGGCCGCAGGGCCAACTCCACCACCGGCTGCCTTCCCGTGCTCCGCACTGCTCGGGAAGGGAGCCACTTCCATTCTGGGGGAGCGTGGGCACGGCTGCAACCTGAGACACCGCACGCCAGGGGTGTGACATCTGTCTGGTAAGTTCCAGATGTTTCTAACTTGTCACGTTAGTCACAACTGTTGACGAGGATCAATGGGAGCCACTCTAGGAACAGCAAATGTGAACAACGAGGCCAGTCTGGTGGGGCCCCCATTCTCTGCATGCCCTGGACACAGCCCAGGAAGCACGATGGGAACCACCTCCCTCCTGCCCCCTGGAAGAGAACAGCGGGGCCTGCTCCTGGCAGGGGAAGTGGTCTAACCCCAAGGAGCACGGCCATCACCATGGTCTATGCAGGGGTGCAGGCACGCTGATGTGCGTGAGGCCTCAAAGTCCACATGTCAAGAAGCGAGAGGCTAAGTCTGTGCCCTGCGGTCCCCGAGCCTGATCCCCCCCCAACACCTCTGCCCACCCGCCAAGGGTTCTCACCGGGACTTCTTCACAGATGCAACAGGGGAGAGAGAGAGAGAGAGAGCAGGAGAACCTGCCCCATGGGGCACTTACCCTGCTTTCCCAGGAGGCAGAGCCGGCTCCCCCTTGGTTCTAACAGAAGGTCTGTGCGGGGAAGGCGTTGGAGACGGGGAGGGGGACGAGGAAAAGGACCGGGACCTAAGGAGAAAACAAAGGCATGAGGAGGGCGCGCCACGGTGCCCCAGCCTGCACTTGAGCAAGCTAGGGACGTTGCCCGGACACAGAAAACGTCGCTGCACGTCTCTACTTAGCTGCCTCAGATTTAGAATGGGCTTCAGATAGTTCTTGGTCCTTTCCAAAAACACACTAGAGGGAAAAGGAGTAGCCAGGCTGATGGGTCTTGCAGAAGGCCTGGGGGCCGTGTGGTCAGGCTGGGAAGGGCACATGCTCTGCATTGCTTAGGAAGTCCAGCAAGGACACGGTGACACAGGTAGGACAGAGGGCCAAGCGAAAGAGCTGGGCACTGAGGCCTAGGGGGCTGGAAGGTGCGGGGTGGGCAGGGTGGCCGCGAGCAGCATGAGGTAGGGACTGGCCAAGCCCACGGAGTGTCCCCCCTGAAGCAAACAGTGACGGGCTCCAGTTCCAGGTGTCAGTAGCATGGACAGAGAGCCCCAGGATGGGGGGTGGGGGTGGGTGGGGTGGGTGCGGGGAGCTGGCCAGGCAGTTCTGGAGGCCGGCCTAGCCAAGCTGACGACTCCACTGTCCCAGGATCCAGCACCACACGGTGCAGGAGGCAAGCCTCCGAAAGGCTCCCGGGCGGTCGTTTTCTCCCAACTTAGAAGCTGTCGTGGACAACTCCCCATTTTCAGCCAAGCAGTGGCACCAGGAAAATTAGGCGGGGCGCCTGCAGTCACACACACTGAGGTTTTAGAGACCGAGGGGCACGGAGGAGATGCCCGGCTCTTCCATCCTGACGCCCGCTTCACCTGGCTGGGGCTGCCCACCAGGGGAGATGGGCAGGGACACCCCCGCTAACTGCCAAGGGGCTAGAGCCAGACGGCGCAGCCCTGTGCCCCCGCCTGGTGTGCGCGAGGTCCTGGTCACCGACTGCGACGATGAGGTCTCTGGTCCAGGCCCCATCGTGGCCTTCCCGGGGAGCTACAGCACCCTCTGTGTGTGTATGGAGACAGTGGAGCCGGGGGGTACGGCCCGGAGGCCCCCACACGGGCAGTCCTCCACCTCCACCTTCCTCTGGCCTTGGACCTAACTAAACCCTGAATGGGATGAAGGGGATGTCCCCACATGCGTGTCCCCTGCAGGCAGGGCATGTGGGTGCAGGTGCAGTGCACGCCACCTGAGCTGGTTGGAAAGTCAGAAGCAGCAGACGCAGAACCTGAACAGTCCTGTTAGTTGTATTAATCAACGACTCGGTTCCTACACAAATGACAACGAAGAATTCTCTAAAACCCCAGAGTTTGTCTATTTTCAGTGGGAAAACTACACGTATTGTTTGATCTTTCTAGAAACGTCCAACAGAACTTTCTGAAGATGCAAATGTCCTCTATCTGAGCACTCCCAACAGGGCCACGCACACTTTAAAATTCTACCTGAAGGACACTGTGCATCACCACACGTGGCTAGTGGCCCAGCGGACAGCGCAGGTCCACAGCACGTGGCGACGGTGGCCTTCTGATTTCAGCACACCCACAACACAGGTCGCGTTGCTGCTGCTCCTGAGCCACCTCCTGACACGTGCTCTGTGCGCCGAGCCCTCAGCACCTGCGGCTTGTCACCTGGCGACGCAGCTGCCTCAACACACAGCGGGGGCTGTTCTGAGAGCAGCTGCGTGCCTGGAAGGACGCCGTCGAGGCCGACCCGACACGGTGCAGGTGCCGGGCTGACCCGGCCGCACCCGGCCGCGCCCACACTCACCTGGACCGGCTGCCTGAGAACGAGCTGTGTCTGGAGGACCGGCTGGAGTAGGAGCTGTAGGAGGAGGAGCGGGAGCGGGAGCGGGAGGACCCGGAGCCGGAGTATGAGGACGACCGAGACGATGACCTAGACAGTCCAAGCACAAGGTGGGAGAGGGGCCGGTCCTCCTCCAGCAGCCTGGCCGCTGCTGCCGACCTGCTACCCTCAGGCACAGACCCAGATGACATGGCCACATGTCCCCCCGTCCCCGTCTGTGCACACCCGCCCACCCCCCACTCCCACCTGCCCTGGGACACCCCTGCGGGCACGCTGCAGTCCAGCACCCTCCTGGCGGGACTCAGGTTCAGAAAGCAAGACCTGGGTGCGGGGGCGCACCCTGCTGCCGGGAGACAGCTCCCAGGCCCTGGCCGGACAGCACACCGTCTGTGTATGTAATGAAAGCCCTGGGTCGACGCTAACCTCCCCAGTCCTCGTCTAGCATGGCGGCCTCCCGCCAGCCTCCTTCCCACCACCCACCGCATCCCTGTTTGTTCAGACCAGCGTACACACGAAGCCCAAATGCACAGGAGGAAGAGAGGGGCTGACTCCTTGGCGGGGCTTATGCCGTCCTTCTGGCCTTCGGCCTCGTGGGGTCTCTCCCAGAGGGACTGGGCGAGCTCTCTCCCCTTGCTGGCCCCCTCGCCAGGTCTGTGCTCCATTCTGGGTTGCCAGCATCCTGGCTGAGGTCAACTGTTTATTTTGGGGGTGTGAGGCCTTACTGAGGTTCTAAACATCAGTTCTGCCTGCCGCTGACGCTCTAGCACCCCAGTTACTCAATAATTCTCTGCTGGACAAACAGATGCCTCTTTAGTCCCCCTGACTGTCCTCAGGCCAGGACGGCGCAGCCCTCCCATGGCGTTTATGAACCAGTCTTTGTGACCGGCCAGCCTCCTTACCTGGAGGAATTGGAGGCAGAGGCCGATGAGGCTGATGTTTTCCGACGCCTTCGTGCCCGGCTAGGGGAGACAGACACCCCGAGTTTCTTCTTGGGAGACTTGGACCGGCGCCAAGGGTCCTTCCACTCGTCTGCTCGCTTCACCTGCGGCCCTGCAGCGGCAGCCTCCTTCTTTGGTGGCTCAGCTTGACGGCTAAAATCACAGAGGCGTTAGCCACTCTGGGACCGTCCTCTCCGACAGCAGTGCCGTCCGATGAAGGCAAACGAGAGGCAGGATGGCGGCATGAGCGCCTGCTTCAGGGGAAGCCTGACAAGGACCAGGTCGCCTACCGGGGCAGCAAGTCCTCCCTCGGCAGCAGGGCTCACTCCACAGACGGTCTCCACGCATTCATGTCCTTCCTGGAGGAACAGGTCTTTCTCCTTCACGGTAACTAACCACACCGGTACTTACTTTTTTGGGTGTAATGACTTACAGAATCCCCCACCATACTGCAAACCCTGGGAAGGACAAGGGTGGCCTTGTCCGACATGTCCTCTCTAGAGCCGGAACAGAGTGGGCACAAAACAAATACTTAGTTCAAGGGCAATAAAGTACTTGTTGCCCTCAACTTATGGTCAACTAATCTTCGACAGAACAGGAAAGAACATCCGATGGAAAAAAGACTCTTCAACAAATGGTGTTGGGAAAATTGGGCAGCCACATGCAGAAGAAAGAAACTGGACCATTTTCTTACACCAACACACAAAAATAGACTCAAAATGGATGAAAGACCTAAATGTGAGACAGGAGTCCATCAAAATCCTAGAGAACAGGCAGCAACCTCTTCGATCTCAGCCGCAGCAACTTCTTTCAAGACACATCACCAAAGGCAAGGGAAACAAAGGCAAAAAGGAACTACTGGGACCTCATCAAGATAAAAAGCTTCTGCACAGCAAAGGAAACAGTCAACAAAACCAAAAGACAACCGACAGAATGGAGCAGATATTTGCAAATAACATTACAGATAAAGGGCTAGTTTCCAAAATCTGTAAAGAACTTCTCAAACTCAATACCCAAAGAACAAATAATTTAGTCAAGAAATGAGCAGAAGACATGAGCAGACATTTCTCCAAAGAAAACATCCAAATGGCCAACAGACACATGAAAAAATGTTCAACATCATTAGCCCCCACAAAAATTCAAATCAAAACCACATTGAGGGCACCTGGGTGGCTCAGTCAGTTAAGTGGCTGCCTTTGGCTCAGGTCATGGTCCCAGGGTCCTGGGATCGAGCCCCGCATCGGGCTCCCTGCTCCGCGGGGAGTCTGCTTCTCCCTCTCCCACTCCCCCCGCTTGTGTTCCCTCTCTCACTGTGTCTCTCTCTGTCGAATAAACAAAATCTTAAAAAGCAAAAAAAAAAAAAAAAAAAAAAAAAAACCAACAAAAAACCACAGTGAGATATCACTTCACACCTGTCAGAATGGCTAAAATCAACAAGTCAGGAAACAACCGGTGTTGGCGAGGATGCGGAGAAAGGGGAACCCCCCTACACTGTTGGTGGGAATGCAAGCTGGTGCAGCCACTCTGGAAAACAGTATGGAGGTTCCTCAAAAAGTTGAAAATAGAGCTACCCTAAGACCCAGCAATTGTACTACTGGGTATTTACCCCAAAGAATACAAAAATACAGATTCGAGGGGACACATGCACCCCAATGTTTATAGCAGCATTATCAACAATAGCCAAAGTATGGAAAGAGCCCAGATGTCCACCAACAGGTGAATGGATAAAGATGTGGTGCATATATACACAATGGAATACTACTCAGCCATCAAAAAGGATGAAATCTTGCCATTTGCAACGACGTGGACGGAACCAGAGGGTGTTATGCCAAGTGAACTAAATCAGAGAAAGACAATTATCATATGATTTCACTCACATGTGGAATTTAAGGAAAAAAACATATGAACGTAAGGTAAGGGGGAGAAAAAGGGAATGAAGCATACCATAAGAGACTCTTAACTCTAGGAAACAAACTGAGGGTTGCTGGAGGGGAGGGGGGTGGGGGGATGGGGTGGCTGGGCGATGGACATTGGGGAGGGCACGTGAGGTAAGTAGCATTGGGTGTTGTACGGAAGTGACAAATCGGTAAATTCTACTCCTGAAACCAGTATCACATTGTGTGTTAACTAACTAGAATTTAAATAAAAATTTGAAAAAAAAAAATACTTTTGTTTTCACGTGCATTAGAAATTTCGTGAATCATCAAACCCGAGCCTTCAACAGTTCCTTTGTTCTCTGACTTAGGTTTGAAGAGACTGGTTTGATTTACACAGAGCGTACTGTGGTCAAAGCCCCAGAAAGAGGAGACAGTGGCCCAGAGAGGTCAGAGGTGCTCCGTGGGACAGCCACTAACGCAAGCGTCAGGACTGAGGGCCAGTGTGCCAGTGGGAGCGACTCTGCCAGGACTGAAGAGCCCTGTCCCCCAGGTCCCTGCGGGGCTGCACCAGTGGTAACTGCAGGTGGAGAGAACAATCACCTAGGAGTGCATCGCGGCTACGGCTGAGACGTGAAAGCCGCGCTCTATGGTGACGAGCAGACCACTGGCAGGAGAACCCAGGAGCCTCCTTAACAGGGTAGGAGGCAGCCAGGCAGCTGAGTGCTCAACGGGGGAGCCCGTTCACCCTGTCCGGGAGCTCAGGGTGGAGACACAGATACACCTTACAAACCCAAATATCCTCACTTAAAAAGGAGCCAAAGTGTAGGATCCCAGACAACTAGCAGTAATTTTTTTTTCAGTCTTTTATGTCTGATTTCTTTATTCAATGTAATTATTTTGAGGTTCATCCATGTTGTGTGTATTAACAGTTTGTTAATTTCTATAGTTGAGTAGTATTCCACTTATGGATTTTTTTTTTTAATTTTTTTATTCTTATATTATTCCCATACATTACATCATTAGTTTTAGATGAAGTGTTCCATGATTCATTGTTTGTGCATAACACCCAGTGCTCCATGCAGAATGTGCCCTCCTCAGTACCCACCACCAGGCTAACCCATCCTCCCACCCCCCTCCCCTCTAGAACCCTCAGTTTGTTTTTCAGAGTCCATCGTCTCTCATGGTTCGTCTACCCCTCCGATTTCCCCCCCTTCATTCTTCCCCTCCTGCTACCTCCTTCTTCTTTTTTTTTTTTCTTAACATATATTGCATTATTTACAACTAGCAGTCATTTAACACAGACGTAGCTGCTGGTCCCATGATACATACGTTTTTAATCAGTTACAAAGTTCATTGAAAAGTTTTGGAAAACACAGAAAGGTAAAACAAGGAAGTAAATAGAAATCCCGTTATCTTGTTCTCCCGAGATAGCCAACATTTAGCACCGCTGCATTTCCTTTCCACCTGGATTCTATTTGCCGCGATGAACACTCAGGCGTGCACTCAATACCCACTGCAGTCACAGCTGCGACCTGCCTGGTGGCCGCATCTCCCCTGTGGCATCCGCCCCTGCAGGTGTGCTCTTCCTGGACCGTGTGAAAATCCACCCCCAGTGCTACCCGATCTCAACATTTCTACACTATTAGCTGTTTCTAACTCTAAAAGAAACCACAACACTAAAATTACTATATATACATCTTTTTTATTTTTTTAAAGATTTTATTTATTTATTTGACAGACAGATAGAGAGAGAGCACAAGTAGGCAGAGAGGCAGGCAGAGGGAGAGGGAGAAGCAGACTCTCCACCGAGCAGGGAGCCCGACGCGGGGCTCGATCCCAAGACCCTGGGATCGTGACCTGAGCCGAAGGTAGACGCTTAACGACTGAGCCACCCAGGCGCCCCTATATATACATCTTTAGGGACGAGGTTTTCTAGACCTAAAATCCTAAGAGATGGAATCAGTGGGTCAAAGGAAATGAACACTTTATAGAGGTTCTTGTAAGCTGTCAAGCACTCTCCCCAAAGTTAAAGCAATGTGCGCTCCACTGGCAGCCAGAGGGCACCCATTTCGCCCATCGACAATCCTGGGGTCCTGTGTCACCAGGGAAGCCACCAGATCAAGCCCCAACTGCGGCAACGGCACACACGGGATGGGCTCCTGGCGCCTCCGGGGGCAGCTGTGGCTGGAGGGCCGCCCCGGGCTGTGGCGCAGCCCCCTCGTGGCCACTTTTCTAGGAAGCTCTTTACGTACGGAGGAACCCTTCCCTGTCCTGCGTCTGCCCCCGGCTGCTTTTGACTGCGTTTGGCGGCGGCGTCCGCCACGCAGGCCTTCGCCCTGAGCTGTATATGCTTGCGTTTTTCTTCTGGGTCATCTGGAGTTTCCTTCCTTTCTTTTTGTAAAGCTGCACTCGTCGGTGTGCCTGGGATCTGTGGCCGCAGCGCATGGCGCAGCTGGGAGCGCGAGGTGGGGCACAGCATGGGGGGGGGGTTGTCCCCACGGGCCACCCCTGCGGCTCCCGGGTGGCCCCCGGCGTGCACTGGCCTGCGGGGGCCAGCAGCAGCAGCAGAGCCCGCGCCGCCTCCACCAGGCTTCCGGTAGGAATGGCGTGGAGCCATTTACCCTGCCGTTTACCCATGTCCGCTTTCATACGGGCCAGCAAAGGACAGGAGCTTTCTTCCTAAGAGGCCCTGCCTTTCCAGGGCCGACTTCCAGCTGCTGTGGACTCTCCCCCACCAGCACCTGAGTGTCTCGGTTGACACTGGGCTTCACCTTGGCCACCATCTACTTATATTCCATCATAAAAAATGCCCTGAGCGGGGGGGCGCCTGGCTGGCTCAGTGGGTGAAGCGTCTGCCTTCGGCTCAGGTCATGATTCCTGGGTCCCGGGATCAAGCCCCACGCGTGGGGCTCCCTGCTCAGTGGGGAGCCTGCTTCTCCCTCTCCCTCTGCTGCTCCCCCTGCTTGTGATCTCTGTCACATAAATAAATAAAATCTTAAAAAAAAAAAAAAGACACTCTTAACTATAGCAACAAACTGAGGGTTGCTGGAGGGGAGGTGGGTGGGGGATGGGGTAACTGGGTGATGGGCATTAGGGAGGGCATGTGACGGAATGAGCACGGGTGTTATATGCAGCTGATAAATTACTGAACACTACGTCTGAAACTAATGATGTACTATATGGTGACTAACTGAATTTAAATAAAACATTTTAAAAATGCCCAAAGGACACACTAAATTGAAGCATAAAATCCCTGTTATGCCGGCTCTAAACCCC